AGAAATTAGAGCGACATCGTTTTAATGTTGTGTTTCATTCTTTCTTTTTCGAGCGGCCAGCTGGTTGCGCATGCTACCTCATGATATGCTTTCCTATAGTAATTCGAAGGAGTTCAAAGCACGTTTGAAAAAAACTCTGATATTTTCCAGAATTTTTGAAAGTTGAGGATGTACGCGTAAGCAAGATGCTAAAGGGAATTTTGTTTTGCCGTCCTTCGCGAGCTCCTTATACAGTCGATCTGAATACGCGGGACATACTTTCTGTATTTCCGGGAATATGTTCTGCTCATTGTTAAGCACCGATTTCGCTGTGTAGTTAGGTAGTGAACTTCAACCAGTTGCGGAGCATCGAAGTATTCTAATCAGCTTTCGCTGAGCTTTATCACTTGATGGAGCATAGTTCAATAATGGACTACTAGATGGCGGGTCAGAAAGCTAGATTGGTGGGGATAGGGAATAAATAACTTTCCGAAAATCAAGTCACTGATTACATATTTTTATACCTTTTGCTCGTCGAGGGTGGGCGATTTCCTAGCGCCATTCGCGGTGTTGAATGAAAATTTTTTTCACATTACTCGTGTTGAATTTCACGTATACACCATACAGCTCGTATCCAATCGGGGATGAGACGGGCGGCTTCTTCTTTTCTTTGGTTCCTAATACATACTCGACTGGACAATTCCTTACCTATGATGAACTTTGTAGGTAGTAGTTATACTTATTCTACTACTCCGCTGACATTTTGTGTCTGTTCTGTGCCGTTTGAGCTCATTTGTGTTGTGTTCTCTTGAGTTGTGTTACGTTTATGTGATTTTTGTATTCTTCTTCTTTTCTTTCCGTTCTTCTTTTAGTCCCGACCTGATTATGGTATCGAGGAATGTAGCGCACCTAGGAGTGCATATAACGAATAAATAAACAATTAAATCCATGCTGTGATTATCTGATGACCTGATTACAAATTCAGCATCCAACTTCGGTGCCGCCGCTACCGTAAAGCATCCTCATTGTCACCTCTGGACTGACCATAAGCCTGAGCCTGGGAAAAAGAAAAACTCTTATGTTGGGCTGAGTCTTAACGCTAAATATCGTGAGCGCTAAAACTTTTTATGGTTCGTGATCAGAACCCCCAGTCGACACCAGTGCAGGTTTGCAACGAAGTTGGTGGAAAAATTTGGGCGTCAAGCTAGGGGTGGGCCGTTTCAGAGGCGACACAGAAATTAAGTGATATTTTTGCAATCACGATGCAAAAAAGATCGTGATTACAGAAATACTTATATTCTTTTCAGAAGAGATGATGGGAGGAATTTAACGAAACGGGCTGATGCCGTTCGAAGCAGCTCAGTTTTGCCCGCTGGCTTAATTATGAAGTGCCTAGATCAGCAAGACCGCTAAAACTTTGCATACAGGAATTATTTAATATCGCTTAAGAATATAATATTCATTCTTGGCGCTGGCGCTAATGGATGACACTACGATTATCTTCAGGGCTTAGCCTTAGCAGAGCGCAATAATCGTGGTGCCTTCCAAGCATCAGCGCCAAGAATGAATATCATATTTTATTATGATCACATATTATATAATCAGGATGTTAAATCCCCTGTATACAAGTTTTCAGCGGATTTCGTGATCTAGGCACTTCACGAATTAGCCAGTAGCCAAAAGTGAGTGCGTCCAAACGGCATCAGCCAACGCCACACCTGTTGTGGCGTTACGAATAAGTACCAAATACGTAATCGGGACATCAAACCCGTAACCGCAGCATGCAAGTTTAAAACATTTTAGAGGTAAAGGTGTGCCGAAATGCTAAATGGTGTCGGGTAACGCGGATGATGAAAAGGAAAGCCTTTTGGTGGTGACTATAAGGGTTACTCGCGCACAGGGCACTGAATAGACCACATGGTCAATGTTTCGGGAACAAATATAAGACACTTGATGGGTAGTGATAGGGTAGCAGAGCCAAAACATGATGAGCTTGAGTGAAACTAATGCAAGAAAAACCCAATTTCACGAAGAATTGAAGCTAAATGATCAACAGAAAATATTAAGCACCTCACTTGCTGAGCATTGGAATCCGCTGCTTGGACCATCATCTGAAATTAATGCTCGTCCTATCAAATCAACGATTCAAAAGCGTTTGAAATTAGCGAAAGAAAACGCCTGTTATGCCTGACACAGGCGATAGCCAAAGTAGCTCTTCTTTAATTCTCAATCAAGTAGCCTCCAGCAGAAGGAGTTTGCTCTCGAATTATACAAATGTATGGAACGAACTTCATCGCGCCTTCCCACTGATAATGTTCTCACTGAACCAGTGCATCCCTGTTATATGGGAAGGATTAAAAAACTCGAAAAGAGTATACAGGGGGGGGGGTCAAAAAAAAGTCATTTTGCCTTCTTGGCTTTCAAGGCGCTATAAGTTACACTTTATTAAATTTTTATCGGACATTTTTACTACCATATTAAAGAGCACATTAAATACTATAATGATACTCCGCCACAGCCTTCTGGAGGAGCGCCATCGAGAGATTTGGCCGCGCGAAAGTGAGTGGGTACCGGAGTTGAGCGAGTTCGTTTCTCCGCCACGACCACCCTGTTGAGCTCCGCCCGAACGGAGTAATTGAGGGGGTCAGTTGAAGGATCCCGCTTAAATACTGCGATCTTGGTCTAGCGTACTCAACGTTCTTCCATTCCAAGTAGGCGAAAGTTTTTCCAACGCTTCGATTAAATGTGTTGTCACCCAATCCTGTAGCAGTACAAAGTTTCCAAGAAGGTACGGCGACCGACATGAAGATTGGGATATTCCTCCTCTCGAGTTGCTCGATTGTAGCACCAGCGCACACCTCAGTCTGGGGGCCCCGGTTCATCCATTCCAGTACGGCCGGTCCACACCATGCACCCGCGCCTGGTGAATGGGGTGAAGATGATGTCCTGGAGCCTTAGCGAGCCGTTGCCGGAGCTGCTCGAGTTTCGAGGTCTTGCAGATCAAGAGTACTGGTCTCCATTAGCTATCCATAAGTGATTCCATTCAAGAGGTTCCGCAGCTGTTTGAAGGCACGTGAATTCCAAGGCGTCTCCACTCAGGCCGCGACTGGAGATGACTTCATATTTGGTGTACATGAAGGTGAATGGCGGCAGCCGGCTCCTGCTCATAGAGGAAGATCTTGGGTATCTTCCGCCCTGGTAACTCACATCACTTCCTCTGTCTGGGCTGCGAAAACTTCGCTCATATGTGACTCGGCCGGAATGACTTTTTTTGCCCCCCTGTAATGCTGTAGTGAACGAATATAGTACCCAGGTCTATGAATAACACACAGTATTGATTTTTTTCACGTTTCACATTCGCGATTAGAAGCACCTCTTTACGGTCGTTGGGGAAACAGCAACAAAAATCATCGTCTCAGAGAGTTCTGACCGTGCGATGATGCTGAAGGAACCGTTGAGCAGGCTCTTAAAATTCACAGCCAATGTTCCGTTCTGGCTGACAGATGGGCCCCTAAGGCGGCGTTCAGACTTCGCGATGACGCGCGTCGTCGCGCCGCTACACGCATGACCCTCTACAATTGCAACAGCGCTAGAGTATAGGGCATTAGAATGGAAGGTGTTGCCTAGTCACGCAGACTGGTATCGATCGTCTGCGCCTGCCTCCGCGCCAGTTTTGGAGCGCTCCAATTAGTGGGCGTCATCGCGATGTTAGAATGCTGTCTGAGGTTCTCTGACTCCCCATGCACTGATAACGTGAGCCTGTCGGCTAACCCAGCGCAACAGATGCTTGCAGCACTATATGCGCGAGGAAGCACGTGTACGCTGATGAAGTGTTCTAATTACAGATTTTGAGGAAGCGAAGGTGCATATGTGACGGACCACAGCAGGTGCTACCGTCCGCGGCCGGTCCCTTGGATAACTAAATCTCCGCAGACATGAGGGTAACCACATCAAAATTGATACAGCCAAGGCAGGTTTGGCGCGGCACTCCAACAGTAAATGAAGCGGTCAAGCAACAACGACCGGTGGAAAGCGAGCTAGCGCCACGCCAAATTTAGCCCCCTTCCCCCTGACACGCTGCAGCGTCTATAGCGAGAACGACAATGATTGCATACCTTCGTCATCAATGATGGTGCTTGGGAACGCATCCTTAAATTCGTTTTCATAGTATAGCACTGTACTTTCTAGCGAAGCAACTCACGATATCACGGTGCTTAGATTCAATCACTACAGAAATCTCACTATAGCATTCGTTGGACATTCCGGCTGAAGGGGGTCGTCTTATTGGTGTTACTGGAAATCTCTGAAAAGGTCAGCTCTTATATTAGGTTGGCAACTAAGTAATTGCGGATTTTTTTTGGAATATCAATGACAATTTTTTCATGGAACGAAATAATTTTATTCTGTATTGTATTGCCCAATTTTATCAATGACTTTTTGCCATCTTTCAGGCAGCATCATAATCCCACGTTCATAAAACTTCTGGTTTTTATTAGCAAAATTGAATCAGGTGCGATTTGACATCATCATCATTACTGAAATTTTACCGTTCAAGGAGTTTTGTAAAGAGCGAAACAAAAAGTAATCGATGGTGCAAGGTCAGGATTATATGGTGGATGTGGCAAAACATTCCAACTAGGCTCCAATAATTTTTGCCGACGGGCCAGAGATGTGTGTGGCCTTGCATTATCATGATGGAAGACCGCAACTTTTCAATTTGTCAATTCGGCCGCTTTTCTTAAACAACATTGCTTAATTTCGTTAATTGTTCAATGTAGACATCAGAATTGATAGTTCGGTTGGGTGGTAAGAGTTCAAAGTAGACAATTCCTCTGTAATCCCACCAAAACTAGATAAAAAAAACCTTTTTTAGTTGAATATCAGCTTTTGATGTTGTTTGAGCTGGTTCACCTTTCTTGCTCCACCATCTTTTTCGCTTGATATTGTTGTAAACAACCCATTTTTCATCGCCAGTATATTGTTGTAAACAACCCATTTTTCATCGCCAGTTATCAGTCGTTTTAAAAATGGATCATTTTCGTTACGTTTCTCGAGCAAACCGCAGTTGTTAATGCGTTGCGTTGAATGGTTTCTTTCATGAGGAACCTATGTATCAAGTTTTTGAGCATAGCCAAGCTATTTTAAGTGGTTTCAATGCATGTATGTGATACATGGAGCTGCATGTATGTGATACATGGAGCTTCTCTGCGATCTCACGTGTGACGATTCGAATCGATTATTGCTTTGATAAGGTCGTCATCAACTTCAGCTGGACGACCAGAGCATTCTTCATCTTTCAGTGAAAAATCACCAGAGCGAAATTTGGCAAACCAATTTACACACTGCCGTTCTTTTGAGGCTTCGTCACCATAAACAGCACATAACTTTTTGTGAGCTTGCAATGCGTTTTTCCCTTTGCGGAAATAAAAAAGTAAAATATGACTAAAATGTTCCTTTTGATGTTCCATTTTTCAACGAACCCACACAAAGACTATGCAACCAACCAAACAACATTCATTTTATACCGGTTGATAGCTGAATTGCCTGTCTAATAATAAAATAAGTTTTACACTTGCTCTACCTCAGCAAACCTAAAATTTCAACTTAAATCATCTGTAGTGAAATCCGCAATTACTTGGTTGCCAACCTAATAAATAGATTCTCTTTAGTCCTCTCATAATGCCAAGGTAGAGAGAGCAGGGCACGCCATCTTTGTGATCATCACAACGGGGGGAGGGGGTCGTATTTGCCCGGATGGAGGGGGGGGGTCGTAAACGCATGGCCTATGTTGAAGTGGAGAGAGCGGTGATACACGGTACAAGTGAAAAGAAGCTCAAAAGGGACGATGTAGATGACTATAAATAGAACTAGGCACTATCGAACTATTCCCCAAGATCTCAAGAAATATTGCTGGAACTTTTTCCTCCTTCCTCGCAAAAAAAACCTCAAGACACCTCGCCCACCAACCTTCCTCATCTTGTCCAGATAAATCCCAATCCACTAATCCGCAAAATCTAGAAAAGAATCCATTGCAAAAGCTACCTATGAAACCGTAAAAACTGAATCCTGAGCAATTTCCTCACAACAAAATCAAACTCAACAAAACAAAATCAAACTTAACAAAAACAAACAATCAAAATAATTAACAATCGAATAGGTAAGAAAGAATACTCACCAGGCCAGCTGGGAACCGGAACTATGGATTACTTTTAAATTTTGGCTGTTCGCGATCAGCGCGCTCATACAAGCGCATTGGTGCGCACTATTTTACGGTTTGAAGCCAATTTCAAGCCAAACACGTGAAAAGTACCCGTCATTTGAACACCCATAACTTCGTTGAAAGTGAAGCTATCGGGGAGGGGTGAACGGGAATGAGTAGAGCTAGGTTGGCTCTTGTCACCTGAATTGAGCGATTTTGAAAACGTTCCGATAACAGAGATTTTCCCCGTTGTGATCATCTTTGTGATCCTTCTGTGATCATTTTTGCGAACCGCGAGTCGCTACGCTTTGGACGTCCATAGCAAGCTTCATACCCGGCCTTTCGTAAAAAAAAGAACTGTGCCAGAAGCTTGAAGATTTCTACTTTCCAGCAGGGCTTTAATTTTCTTCCTAGGCCTGCTATTCGAAAAAATTCCCCGTTGTGATCATTTCGTAATCATCCCCCCCCGACACGAAAAATCAGCCCCTCCGAGGCCATGAAACTCCCAGTTGGCTTGAAGACTTTGGTATGCTTCTGAAACACATGTTTCCGCAAAGGCTATCAGGAAATAGTTTATTGGGCGCCAATCATCATCACCTGTCCAAGCGCCATGCATGAGGCTTTCACGCAAGTGTTTGGAAGGTGTAATGCTAGATAGGGCTTCCTAAGTGTGTGTAAGTGAGTGTCCATGTGCTCCTACGATCAGAAAAGTCCGGGAATGTACTTTCATCTGTTTATTAATCGTCACGTCGTGAGTCCTTTTGTTTGTTTGCAAAATTCATGGTGCCCTTGTGGGCGGTGAGCGTAGCTCCTACAATCGCCCCTTCCTCATACGTATTGTCAGTATGCTACATCAGCGCCAAAGTGCTGGACGTGGATGGGACGTACATAGGTACTGCGACCTCCCCCCCCCCGCTCGAGAGCAAAATTTTGTAAAAAAAAACCAGAAATTTTTTGGGGAAAAATAGACA